AGGCCAGGGTCTGGGGGTCATTCCTTTCAGGGTACTGCCTACTATCAAAGGCTCCCAATACTCCTCAGGTTCGATCAGCCTAAAAGTCTGAGCCTCAAGCACAGCTCTATGGGAAAGTCATCACATGGTAGTTAAGTGGGCACTTGGGGGCAGGGTTCAAATCCTCACCACTGAAGGCCAAAACCACCTGTCCACACCCTATCACCACCAGCCCGGAGACTCTGCCATCTTCAAATCAGAAAGGCTAAAGAAGCAGGGGTACGCAGCGTGAGAGAGGAGAAAAGTCACCTCAACTCCCAGAAGGGTCAATGAACAGAGGCAGGTCTGAAATGGCCCCCCTCAAACAGATACCAGGCCTATGGCTCCTCGGGGCCCCCGCTTTCCTTCTCTAAGCTCCTCCGCTCACATTCTCTCTCAGACTAACAGTGGACTTCTCCTCATCAGCTCCAAGCAGCAAGGTCCAGAAGCCTTAGGACTTTTATCAGCTGGGACAGCTGCTTTCAGACTGCTGTGCGTCAGAATCACTCAGGAACAGAGCCACCCCAAGTTCAACCCCAAACCTGCTGAATCGATTTTGTCAGGATGTGACGGAAGCACCTGGGAACAAATGCCATTTCCCCCAAACAGCCACGTCAGTAGATCTCTTCTTAACGTGTGACATCTAGTCCTTTCCATGGACCTCACAAAACCTGTCCGGCCTCCGCAACTATGTGGTAGAAATGACAGCGTGGAACTTCTGAGAGCAGGTCATGAAAATGGCATGTGCTTCTGACTTCTACTTCTGGAGTGCTCATACTTTGAGAAAGCCCAAGCAGCCACCTGGTAAGACCACACACGTCTTACTGGCCGACGGTCCCAGCTGAGTTCTCCGCTAACCACTGCCATCAACCACCAAGACGTTCACATGATTCCAGCGCCCAGCCCGGAGCCGCGCCAGCGGACACTAGGTGTCACAGAAACAAACGTGCAGATTTATGAGCGAAGTGTTTTCCTGATGTGTCAATCCGTTAAGTTTGAGGGTGATTTATTGTACAGCAAAAAATAACTGGACCAGAATACACACATGGCAGTATACCCGGAAATGGAACTGCCGTGTCATATGGTAACTCCATGTGTGTCTCGTCTCTACAATGAAGAAAACCCACATCCTCACAGATGGACCACTAGATAGCATGTGAGATGGGGGAAGATTAAAGTGTCGAGGATTCCGGTTTGCTGGATCTGCAGTAATTAAGAATCAAACATCGGGCGGTGTGGGCAGAAGCCCTCTTTAAAGTGTTGACGAGTAAGGTGACACCTGAGGACCAGGGCGCCCCTGACCCGAGCCATGGCATCCCATCATCTCCTAGCACGTGCAAGTTGCACCACAATGAAGGAAGACGCAGGAACTGATGCTTGGGGATCACGGTTTGGGTGAAGAATGCGGAACGCACCGAGGACTGCCCGGGGGACAAACACGTCTGTCTTGGGACAGAGAATGGCTTCTTGAGAGTGAGTTGGCGAGACTTGTCTCACGTACCGTGGCCACGTTACCAGGAAAGACCTGGGACGGTCAAGACGCTCCCTGCGCTGGATGGACGCGGTGCTCTGGCCATGTTATCAGTGGCCCCCGCGGGCTAACAGCCGTGAGGACGGCCCGGGACGGGGTACTGCTGCGTTGGGGTGTACCTACGGTCACGGCGAAAAGGAACCAGCTCGATGGCACCTGGAAACAACAGCGTGTGTGACACTTTGAGGACCTGGAAGTTTGTCCTCTAAATTGGCTACACAATTCCTGTTAGGTTTCTCGGGTGGGAGATGCCTGGGTTCTTGGCTTCTCACAGGAAAGAATTTACGCCGATGCCTGGTTTGTGGTCCAAGTGGGTTTTTATAAAGGACAGAAGAAGGTTCGGGCTTTACAGTCACTGAGCTCAGGCACTGTCAGGGCACGGCACACGCACACAGCGGCCAGAGGCCAGAGGCCAGAGAGACCATAGCAGGCCCAGCAGAAAGCGGAGAAGCAGCCCAAGGAAAGGGCAGCGGTCTCCAGGTTCTGCCCTTCAGCTGGGAGGCCTGGCCGATGGTACTGGTCGACCTCATTGGCTGAATTAAGCCCACCTGGCTTAGTTTGGGCCCACCCAGGTGTACCAGCTTCCTGGCTCCAGGGCCTGAATTTGGAGCATGCGCCTTAGCCATCCCTGCTTCTTGCTACCTTACAATGCCCACCAGCCATGTATTTCATGAGCTCCTGACAGGTTCAGGAATACCGGTGTTCCCAATTCCGCCCCTCTGGCAGCCAGTACTCCCTACCTCAGCTCATGGCCCCTCCAGTCTTGCTTGCTACCATCACTGAGTCCCTCTAGCTTTCTCAACCAACATCCCGCCAGGCAGGCGGCTCGGTGACACAACCTTCGTTCCCAAACCATCCTAACTCGGACTCTCCTTGCTCCTTTGCTTACCACCCTAGACCAAACGCCAACAACACTGTGTTGCTGTATTATTGTGACAGCCCTCCCCCCAGTGCTGTTCTTCAACTCCGACTGTCGCTTCTCAACTCTATAGCCAGTGGGGTCCCGTTGACACTTAAGTCAGACCATGTCCCTCCTCTATCTGCGCCCCTAGTGACTTTCCTCTCCCTGGGCCAGTAGTCAAAGCTGAAGGCCTCACAGTGACGTTGTCTCCCCTGGCCAGTCTCTCCAACCCCATCTCCAACCCCACTCCCTACTTCCCTTGCCCTTCTACCTCACAGCTTCTGCACTTCCTGCCTCACTACCTTCGAGTTTTTGCTTCAGTTTCCCCTTAGCAAGGCCTTCTGTGATGACCTCATACGACCTTCTAATATATTACATTGATCCTTATCTGTCTCCTTCTATCAGATTATAAATCCCTAAGGGCAGACCTGGTGATATATAGTGGTCACATGCTGGGCTGC